ACCTGCTGCTGTCCCTGGCAATACCCCCCCACTCTTCAGGGCAGATCTCTGCCAGCTGTTTGGCACCATCACTACTGTGCAGATGCTGTGTTGTATAATAACATAAAACCTCTCCAGGAACCAGTACCGTCTCCTTTGTACCCACATGCATGGTGATGATTTTATTTTTTATTTTGTAAGTGTACAATTCTGTCTTTTAGATGGGGGAGAAAGAGTTCAAATCTAAGCATAACATCGGTTTGAGTTTCCACAGGAAATGACTTGAGGTTATTAACATGTATTTTTTCCATTGTAAAACGATCTCAGATGTTCTAACAGAAGGAGAAGATCCTAAAAATCCTGCCAGAGCCCTTACTGCTGAAAGTCCCTATAGTAGCACACAATTTACACTCTTCCTCTACTGCAAAAACCAAGGACAAAGCCTCTGATCGCCCCGTCTTTTCTCAGGGCCCACTGTAGTCTCTGCCAGGTATAATCTTCAGTACTAAAGATCTCAGGCTTATTGCAGCACTCTGAAGAAGCTTTGATGGCTTTGGATGTACAAGAGGTGAGGACCAGATTGTCTAGACTCGTATCTATTATGCAGTTGCTTGCAATTATATGGAATTGGACTTGGCAACCCTGATGGTGCCTTCCTATAGAAAGCCCGCAGCGTGCCTCCAAAGGTTAGCAAGGACCACCGGCCAGATTCTCCGCGGGTGCAAATCCAGGCGCCGCCTCAGACCGTATGCTGCCAGCGACTCTACTCTTCACAGGTGGCAGCAGGAGTGAGAGAGCAATGGACTTGCTCATGAGTGCTGTGATTAAGAGGTACAAAAGCAAGTCCTTCCTATGTTCTTTATATCTGGGAGGGCTTTAAAAACCCCACTCAGTTACATTCCTGAAATAATACTGCCTGAAACCTGTTACGAAGACTTCTTTAGAGATCTTGGAGAGGGTTCAGATTCTTTCCAGTGACTCCTCCAGCACCAGGACGCTTGCCTCTTAAACATCTGAGTGGAGACAGCAAGCTCTAACTTTAAAGAATACCTGTAAATTTAAATTTAAGGACATATTCAACTGTATAAGACAGAAATAAACATAAGTATTAACAACAAGCTTTCAGAAGTGGTGGATCAAATTTGCTTTTGTTTATAGCTTTGTGGATCGGGAGTGACTTGACTGAGATCAGTGTGTTATGCTGTGCACGGTCCATGGTTTTAAATAATCCTCTGCATCTGAGTGACGATTCTGGTTCAGAAACAATTTCAAAGAGAGATGAAGACCTATGCATATTATTGCAGAGCGCAAACATTTTCCAATGAGATTCAATTGCCAAGCTGCAGATATTATATATTAGTGTGTTAGTAACTTGAGAAAAGATTCTTGTATGTCATACGCTATTGAGTTAAGCAACGCAGCCAAATCAGTCTTTGGGTATCCCGTGGGATATTATGCTGCAGTTGCTTTCGATACCTCTTTGTCATCCACTTCCACGACAACATTACATTCCATTTATAGGCTCTAAACTAACAGATGATAACTTTGAGCCTCTCAGTTTAGGATTAAGAAATGAATGTATGGATCTTATCTGACAGCACGTGTTTGGGATCTAACAAACCTCACCCTTGGGCTTCTCCAGAGCCGTCTCAATCTCTGCCTTTCTCACGTGGATGCTGTATCAAGACGCCTCTGAACTTGGCAAAAGCTAAATACTTTCCTGATGCTTTGCCAAGTGATCAGTTAAGTCTTTTCGCTTCCTGCTGAGTAGGAATCTGATGGGAAGAGCATTGGCCACGTAGTGACAGGGCACAAGAACATCAGAAGAAACAGCGGTGCTCACCTGGCCAGGCAGAACTATTACAACTAAAAGCAATCCCATCCAAAGGCTGGATCTGTGCACCATGGCATTGGTACACTCACAGCTGTCATATGCCGAGAAAGACGCAAAGGCGGCGTTTTGCATGTTCCCTACCCTGAACTGCAAAATTCACTCTCAGCAATAAAATTCCACCCAGAAGGTGCATCAGGAGGACAACAGCTTACAGTGACAGTCCCTAACAAGGAGCCTCTGCTTCCAAACACTCACTGCCTCCCTTTTGCCTGGCCAGCACTTAGGTTTGAGGCTGAATGGAGCAATGAGAGCCACCTTTCAATTTGCCAGGACAACAGCTTTCAGTTGCCCACCATATACACTCTGACCTTTCTAACCAAACAAAGGACTACCAGCTATTCACTGAGTAAACCAAGGGGTTTATAAAAAAAGACATTAGACATGGCTACTCAAACAGCCCTCATCATACAGACTGCTATTATCTACTTCCTAATAAGCAGACAATTTTGTTAGGAAGTTCTAAAATTAGGCACTGAGCACTTGAAAAAATGCTCCTATTGAAAACAGACAATAAAATGCAAAATGGAGCTATATTTTAAGATGGCTTGGTATGGTTTTGTGCCTTAGCACAAATGCCTCCAGAGGGGAAATTTTGCACATGAAGTACATTATTAATCATTTTCATATCAATACTTTTTAGGAAATTACAAGAAAAAAACACGTGGGGATTAACAGATTTTGAGGTTCATAAAAGACAATCTGATCCTTGATGACTTGGGTTTGTGTGCAATACGTCCCTGAGGACTTATTCTGACAGTAATTCTGCACTGAGCTCCATATTTCTATTTGATTAAAATACATCTTCGAAAAAGGCACTTGCAGTCCTTACTTAGACATCTGGAGAAATGGAAAATTCACCACTTCTTCTGGTAGCTTGTCACCCACGCTGCTGAAAAATGTGTATCTTGTGTACACAGACAAATGGGAAACATCAGTATTCTGGAGTCCTGCATCGCCCCCTTTCTAAATCTGACTGATCACGGTTGTCATACGCTCCAGGCCCAATTCCACCAGGCATCGAGTGCTATGTCAGTTCCTGTGGGTGTGCAGAAGAGACTTGGTGCATGGCAAGAGCAGAGCATTGGAGAGGAGAAGCGCCTCTTGCTCAGAGAACAGGCTTTGCTCTGCTGCCGAACGACTTCTACTTTTTAAGAGTTTAAAGGGAGTAAGTTCCCATGGATCCATGTGAGTATCCTACATGTTTAAGAAAACAAATGTCTCGTGGACTTGCTCATGCTTAGCATTGCTCAATCATTCTTCTGCTGGAAGGAAAAAAGGGAAGTTGAAATTAGGTATTTACTAAACAGAATAAGTAATTCTCTGTTTAGAAGAAGGTATCGCTCTGCTTATCTCTACCATCTCGGGTGATCACCCAAAACAAATCAGGTAACATGGCAGACAACAAAATATCTATTCTGTTCTCTTTTGGCCCTCTGTCCTGGCCATTAAATGAAGACAGAAAACAAAACAGCGCAGAGAACAGCTTCAAAACAAAAAAGAGACAAGACTGCAGAAGTTGCGTGCAACCTAATTCTCGGAGTTGATCTATTTATGCCAAATCCGGATCTTGAAGTCTGTGGCAGTCAATCCCCTTGACTGCCATGCAGGCAGGATTTGGCCCCGGTAAAGTATCCGCCTGCATTCCCAGCTGCTGGGTCCAGCTGCCACGGAGGAATGCAGGGCTGCCGAGGGTGCTGGCACAGCATGGAGTCCGAACTCCCAGTGAAAAAAAATTTCCACCTCAGCGCCTGGATCTAAACTTTGTCAGTGTGGCGGCTGAATCTGATAAAGCAAATCCCTGCCTGACAATAATTCAATTTACATTCTTCTCCCTCACCAGCATTCAAATCTTGTTTGAACCAGCTTCTTTGTTGAATATAGCTTTAAGCATTTGCAGCAAATTACAGCTGAGTATTCAACACAATATTTGTATAGGGCTGAATCCTGCTCCTACAAGTCAAGGAGAGTTTCACCACTTTGTAGCATGCCACAGAGAATTAGATGACAGTTTGCACAAAAGCACTTTGGGGAAGGATTAAAACAGACAAACAAACACGTAGCAGTCATTTTAGCACTCTGGTTTAAGCAGAAGTGTTCGAAGGCATAAAAGCCAGTTAATTCCTATTGGAAATCAATGGGAGCTGAGGAAATACAGCACTCTTGTACCCTTGGAAAGCTGTCCTTTGACTATGGATTGCCCTAATCTCTGCTTTCTCTAACATAAGATCAAAATGTAAGGCGTTCATTGATTTTGCAACTGTCGCCAGATTTCCTACCTACCTGGAAAAGTTGTCTCTGTAAGCCTCATTCATCACGCTCAGAACTTCACCCTCTTCAGGTGAATCAGCTGTCACTAAAGCTCAAATTTCAATCTTACTGTAACGTCGCCGTGCTATTCAGAGTAAAACTCAAAATACAAGCAATTTCCCCGAAAAAAAAAAAAAAAGAGGCTGTTTCAGCCCCGAGTCTGTGTCCACCTCCACCTCAGTCTGTCTCCGAATACCTCTGAAACACGACGTGCTCCCCACCCGAGAAACACACGGCTCCCCCTGACTCTCCCTATTGCCCACAGGGACTTCTTCGCCCCGTGCCCTGCAGCAAACCACCGAGTCCCACCGCCGCCTGCCCGGGAGGGAAAACCCGAATTACAACAGAGCGACCAGAAAAACTTTTTCGGAAGCTCCCACACCCTCCATCACCCTGCCGGGTTTTGTTCGCCTGGTGGAGGGGGGGGGGG